CGCGCCGGGGAGGGGGGACCACGACAGATCCTTTAGATTTTCTCAGACAGACTCGTATCGAGGAACCGTACCAGCCAGAACGTGCCGGGACGTGTCATGGTTGGAGGGGCACGGAAAGAGGAATCTGCGAAGCCGTCGCCAGCACTCTGAAGAGACGGACATGCGAGTCGAGAGCCATTGACTGCAGGAAGTGGCAGCGACGTGTGATGGTCGGAGAGGCGTTGGGAACAAGCTTGCTGAGACCGACTTGGGTGCTAGAAAGTGACGAAGAGACAGAAGGTGTAGAGACGCGTTCTGGTTGGAGGGGCGTGGAAAAGGGGAGCCTGCGAAGTCGTAACCAGCATCTTGCTGGGACGGACATGCGTGTCCAGGGCAATCTACAGTAGGAAGTAGAAGAGAAGTGTGATGGGGGTAGAGGCGCGGAGGAAAAGACAGCCTGCTCAGTCGGATTTGAATCTCGAGAGTGGCAATAAGACAGAAAGTGTAGAGTTTTGTGATGGTAGAAGATGCGTGGACGAGGGTTGCCTGCGAAGTTGTGGCCAGCATGCTGCTGAGACGGACTTGCGTGCCGAGTGAAAGCAACAGCCAGAAGGTGGAGAGATAAAGGATGGCCCGAGAGACGTGAAAAAGGGGGAGCCTGCGAAGTGGCCGCCGGCGCTCTTGAAGAGACGGACATGCGCGTAGAGAGCCACTAGCAGCAGGAAGTGCCAGATATGTGAGAGTGGAAATGGCCAGCCTTCTGATTTGAACGCGGGGGCCGAGAAGACCAGCCGAAGAGTTCAGCGACGAGAAATGGCTGGAGAGATGTGCGTGCTGGGGGTAATCAAGATCCAAAGTACGATGAGGGATCTTGTCTGGTTTGCGAACTCGTGGCTAGCATTCCGCTGGGACGGACCTTCCCGCCGAGGATAGTAACAGCCTCAGGGTGCCGTGACGTGTGATGGGGCCAGAGCATCGGAAGAGGAGGGATTGCAAAGTCGTGGCCAACACTCTGCTGAAACGAGCATTGCCGAGGGCACGCATTGCCTGGAAGGTGAAGGAAGGCATGCTGCGAGCAGAGGCGTGGAAAAGGGAGCTGGCGAAGTGGTGGCTGGCCCCCTGCTGAGACATATTAGTATTGCGTGTATAGTAAGTCCATTACAGCCAGAAAGTGGAAAGAGACGCGTGATCGTCTGAGACGCGTGGACAATGGAAGCCTGTAGAATTGAACGCTTGGGTGAATAGTAGGGCGCGGTCAGAAGATGGACAGACATATAACGGCAACATAGCTGAGACAAATTTTGCAGTCGTTTGCGATGTCGTGGCAAGTTTTCGGCCGGCCGGGAGAAAGCGGTATAATCAATCGTTGTACGTGGGCAGTTGTGTGGGCATGGTCAGAGAATGTGTGGACGGCACTTTCCTGCTGAGGCGAACTTTCGATTCTCCGATCAAGCTTATCGAACACGCCGACGGCGAATCACCGCCTCCCCCTGCCTTTTAGGATACGCCTATGTGGCCAAACGTTTGGGCAAAGTTAGGCCACGCTATTGGACCATGCATTCTCCCAGCCGTTGTGGAAACCCTTTGGGGAACACGTGGGAGAAGAAGATGAGGATGAGGAGAGAGAGAGAGAGAGAGAGAGTTAGGAAAAAGGATGAAGAGGAGAATGATGAAGAGACCTCTTAAGAGCCTACTGGGGCATTCTTGGGGCCTCTGGGAGCTTCTGGGTTGGCCTCTTGGAGGTGTCTTGGGAATCTCCTTAGGTCTCTTGGAGCTCCAAACGGCCTCCAAGAGGCATCACAACTGCCTCCAAGAGGCCCCCGAGAGGCCTCCCACGATATCCAAACGCACATCCAAGAGGCTTCTTACCCACAACCCAGGCATGGTGACGGGATGGGCCGAATGCCATTAGATCCGCCGCCCCCAGTGCTTGTCACAGGGGTGCCTGGCGTGCTAGACCCTTTCGGTTTTGATTCTTTTTCCAACCGAACTCTTCTCTAGGGCTCCAGCCCGTCCCGCCGGCCACCCAGAAGGGACCGCAAACTGCGCATGTCAATGCCTTTTCACGCCTAAGATGGCCACAGATGGACTCCAAGATGCCTCCAAGGCGGCCAAGATGGCCCAATATGGCCTCCAAGTTCGCCTAAGGTGGTCCAAGATAGCCTCCAAGACGGCACAATAGGGCCTCGTTTTGAGCCTCTTAGGGGCTTCGTGGGGCCTCTAGGGGGCCTGGGTGCCTCTTGGGGTGGGAGGCTCGAATTGTCGGTTCATGCTCCCCCTCTTGGGCCCCTCTTGGTACCGTCTTGGGGTCCGCTTGGGCGATCTTGGGCGTCCCTTGGGCCGTTTTAGGGTCCTTTCGGACCGTCTTGGGGCCTTCTTCCGGGCCTCTCGGGCCGTCCTGGGGCGGTATTGGGGGCCTTTGGGGCCATTTTGGAGCGTCGGAAGCCCGAAAACGTGAGAACGCGAAACAAATCGAAGTACACAAAGAGCATCAATGACTTTTGCCTCTTTGGGCCCTCTTGGGGGTCCTCTTGGAGCGCTCTTGGGGCTTTTTGGGGGCCTCTTAGGCTATCTTGGGGCCATCCTAGGTTGTCTTGGAGCGCTCTTGGGCTGTCTTGGATGCCTCATGGGCGTTTCTTGGGGCCCTCCTTGTCTTTGGGCCTTGTGGCCTCATCAAAATCCATGCGACCGAGCCCAAGAGCGCGCGAGAGCGCGCGGGAACGCCGGGTACATTTGGGAATTTCGGCCCCCCGCCTTTGGAATACTACAATCCCCCAGTCCTGCTGAGTACAGAGAACGGGGAACCCTTGAGGACCTGAGGGCGCTCCAATTCGTGCCTCGAGGCACGGTGGGGAACAAGAGGCGTACTAATTATGGGGGTAGGGTCGTGCAAGAGAAGGGCTTGGGCGGACGTGGCCGACGCAGTCGTTCTCAAGACACGTGACAGCCGGAAGGTGTAGAGACGTGACACAGGCGTGGAAGCAGGGCCTGTCAATCGGTGGCCAGCTTTCCGCTGAGACTGGCGCGCGCGCGCGCCCAGAACAAGTAGCAGTCAGTAGATTGTGCAGACGTGCGCTGCGGGACAGAGGTGTGGGCAACGGGGGTCTGCGAAGTCGTGGCCAGCACTCCGCTGAGCCTGAGTTGCGTGTCTCGGGCGAAGAGAACTATACACATGCATCGATTCTGGCCAGGCCCATCTTGGGCCCAGGATCGGTGCATATGCTTTCTTGGCCAAGGCAGGAGGGCACATGCACCCATCCTGGGCTCAGGATGGGCCTGGCCAGAACCGGTGTATGTGCATAGTTTTCTTGCCTCTAGTGTCGAGGAGGTGCAGCAGTTGGGATGCTTAGAGGCAGAAGCGCAGGCAGAAGGGCTCGGAGGTCCGCCCGGGTCTCTGGGATCGGCGCAAGGCCCCCCTCCCTGGGGAGCGCGTCCGAGGCGGCGCGACGCCGTAACGAGGTCCAGTCCAGCGCCGATCCAGGAACAGCTGCGCGGCCCTGGGAAAGTGCATATTTGCACAGATCTTTTTCATGCTGTCGATGTTTCCCCCTCGCCCCCCAACACCGCCAGTGACGAAAACACCCGCACCACCAAGCGGTGACGAGCACACCACCCAGCGACACGGCACCACCAGCACGCGACAACATCGGCTGTAAGATTTCCCTCTCCTCCCCCTCTTTTCCTCGCATAGTCGTTCCTATGCCTTTCATGCATGTCTAACACAACACACGCACGCACACACACAACACACAACACACAACACACAACACAAAACACACAACACACACAACACACAGCACACAGCACACAACCAGCACACAAACACACACACGCACGCACGCACGCACACACACACACACCACATCACATCACATCACATCACATCACAACACATCACATCACATCACACCTCATCTCATCACACAACACATCACATCACATCACATCACACATCACATCACACATCACATCACATCACATCACACATCACATCACATCACATCGCACATCACAACACATCACATCACATCACATCACATCACATCACATTCAACATCATATCACATCACATCACATCACATCACATCACACATCACACATCACACACCACACACCACACACAACACACCACACATCACATCACATCACATCACATCACATCACATCACAACACATTTCATCACATCACATCACATCACATCACATCATCATCAACATCAACATCAACATCAACATCAACATCAACATCAACATCAACATCACATCACATCATATCACATCACACACACACAAGCGCACGCACGCACTCACGCACGCACGCCTGCACGCACGCACGCACGCACCCACACACGCACGCACGCACGCACACGCACACGCACACGCACACGCACACGCACACACACACACTCACACACCCACACACACAGACACACAGACACACAGACACACAGACACACAGACACACAGACACACAGACACACAGACACACAGACACACAGACACACAGACACACAGACACACAGACACACAGACACACAGACACCCACGCACCCACACACCCACACACCCACACACCCACACACCCACACACCCACACACCCACACACCCACACCCACACACCCACACACCCACACACCCACACACCCACACACCCACACACCCACACACACACACACCACAGCATGCGGAGGCTACGGCCGCGTCGCTCACCTGTTGTCGAGTAGGCTCGGGCACTTCTCTGCACTGGTGATCTTGTGTGGTCCTTCGTGGGAGCCTCAGAGCGTTCCCGAATTCCCTGCGCTTTGGGGGACTCCGTCCAGATTTCGTCGGATCTGGTCGATAGCTGGTCGACATATGGACGAAATCTGGACGAAAGGGTGAAAAGGGGTGGTCGAAATCTGGACGAGATTCAGTCGAAGGTCACGTCTATGATCGGCCCGCGGAGGTGTCCACACAGGCTCCCACAGCGCTCACCCGAGTGGTCGTTCGTTCGTTCGCTCCTCCGCGCCGCCCCCGCGAGAAAGACCAGAACTTTTTCTACGACTACGTCGCCCTCCTGTCCACGATGCGCGCGCCCTACCCGCTCTGTGGGCTTCTCTTTCCGGCGGCGGCGGCGGCGCGCGCGCGCGTCGCCGGGGAGAGGCAGGAGGGAGGTCGGCAGGGAGGAGGTACGCAGGGAGGCCGAGAGGCACAGAGGGAGGAGGGAAGCAGGGAGGCAGGGAGGCAGGGAGGCAGGGAGGTGGAGGAGGAGGAGGAGGTGGAGGAGGGACAGGCAGGGAGGAGGAGGAGGCAGGGAGGAGGAGGAGGAGGAGGCGGGAGGGTGGATATGGTATCGAGGGTGGAAGAGCCAGGACGGACCTGGGGCCCTCTATTGGTCCCCCCCCCAAAGGGCCCTGGGGACCGCCGGGGTCCCCCGGGGGACCTCCTGAAGCCTCTGGTTGCACGGCACGCCCGCGCTGCCCCAGAGGCCTCCGAGACCTTCCGAGGCCTTCCCCGTCATCGACAAGCCCTGACCATCCTTTCTGTCGGGCCCCTCAGCCGAGCGAGGAACGGACCCCTTCGAGCGCTCCCAGGGAGGAGGAGGAAGAGCAGCAGGAGGAGGAGTAGGTGGAGGAGGAGGAGGAGAAGGAGGAGGAGGAGGATGGAGAGGAGGAGGAGGAGGAGGAGGAGAAGAAAGAACAGGAAGAAGAGGAACAATAACAATATTAATAAGAAGAGCAGGAGGAGGATGAAGAGGAGGAGGAGGAGGAAGAAGCGGAGGAGGAGCCGCCTCCGCGCCGCTGCTGCCGCCGCCTCGCGCGGCCGCTTCGGCCCAGCCGCTCCGCCCTTGCAATTTCCGAGTTCCGCCCGAAAGTTTGGCCGCTCACAGGAAGGGGGGGACTCTGGGATGCACCCCAAGTGGGCTATTCGGACGCACCCCTTATCGAGGATGGGCGTCCCCCCATCGTAGATCCCAGGGCTGGGCTTTGTGGTCCATTCAAACGCCCCACGAAGCCTGGGATTAGGGGTCGACATATCCCTTGTTGTACCCCCAGAGAGCTCGCAGGCCTCCTGCAGTCCCCTGGGGGCCTGTCAGATTCGGGCTAACGTCGCCATGCGGGAAAAAAAGGATCCTGAGAGAAACAGGTGCTGAGTTGTTTCGCTGTTTTTTGGCTTCCTAGGGCCATCCACGGGCCCCGGGAAGCCATCGACGGGTCCTCTGCAAAGGGGGTCTCGAAAGTGTGCGCCCTTGTTCGTGCAGTCGTGCGTGCGGGAGGGTGCTGGCAGAACGTGTTGCATTTGGCATCGCTGGTTCGTGCGAGGCGCCGCGCCGTGAGCCACAGGATGAATTACAGTGGAAACCTATGCCGAGAGATACCCTGCTTGCCTCCAGGGTGCCCTGGGTTTGTTGGGTTTCGATTTTTTCCTGTGGAAAGAGTGACGTTCCCACACCAACAGCCAGTGGACGTCCTGGGGTCTCGGGGTTGGGCTTCTTGTGGAATGCGTCTTGCGGTCGAGGTCCTACGACACGAGAGGCCCCCTGTGCCCAGAAGCATACATGGGCGGCGACCCCAGCGCTGGGCGCTTGAGGGGTGGAGACGCCACCGCTGTCCTGGCCTCGGCCGACGTCGGCGAGATCTGTACGCCGCGGTCGTTCGAGGTCGACCGATCCACGCGGTGCCAGAGACCAGCGCGCCAGTCGTCAGGACGCGCACAGGCGGCCCTGGAGTAGTAGGTCGACCCTGCCAGATCAAGGGTACCCTCGTGTCCTGTGTCTCGCGACCCATGCCTCCTGCATTTCTCTGGCAACGTGGCCCCCGGAAGGGTCTTGTGTCCTCTCGCGTGTCCCGTCCAATCAAGGCCGACTGTAGCGTAGGAGCTCGATCAGAGGAAACCTTCCACAAGAAACCCAACCCCGAGTCCCCAGGACGTCCATTGGTTTTTGGTGCGGGAGCGCTTCGCTTTCCACAGCAGAACCGTCGAAGCCCAAGGAACCCAGGGCACCCTGGAGGCAAGCAGGGTGTCTCTTGGCGTGGGTTTCTGCTGTACCTGGCGCACGTGCTTCCGACCGACGTGTATCCATTCGGCCTCGGCCCATCCCGCCATCGTGCCTGGGTCTTGGGCCAGAGGCCTCTTGAATGCGTATGTAATGGTCTCTTGGGGTGCCTCTCGGAGGCCCCTTGGGGGCCTCTTCGGGGCTGGCGGTTTCAGAGGTAATACGGTGGCACTGTTGTCGACATGTCAGTTCGTGTGCCCCCTTTGGCCCTCCGGACCCCGTTGGGCCTCCCTGGGCTATCTTGGTGCGATCTCTGGGGCATCTTGAGCCGTCTTGGAGCGCTGGAATGCACATTGAGGGCCTCTCTTCGCTCCTTGCAGTCAAAGCCAAGGGTAAGGAGGGGTAACCTTACTTGCTTTCTTGCGCCTCTTCGGTCCATCCTTGACTGCTTTCGATGGCCAGCCCCGGTCGAAAATCTTTCACAGTGGCTTCCTTTGGGCTTGCATTCTTCTCTCGCATCCTTACTCTTCTCAGTTTGAAACAGATCTCTTCCCCATGATTGGCATCACCTGACCTCGGTGTCGATCTCAAGGATTCCTTTAGTTTCTGAGGGCACATCCCGAAGATTGTCATCGCTTTTGGCTAGCCGATCTTAGGGATCTGGATGGGTTCGAGTCTGGTCATACGATCAGTATTGACTGTGTTTGGCGTGCCTGCTGGCAGCACGGTGGCCGCGGGGAGGCGCGGGAGGAGGCGGCGAGGAGGTCTGCACGGCGCCGGCGCCGGCGCGCAGAGGCGGGCAGAGGGGCGGCCGGTGGGCTCTCTTTCGCCTCGCAGGGGCGCCGCGGAGCGCCGTCTGGGCGCTCTGCTGGTCAGGATCGCTTCGCCGACCCTCTTGGAGGGCCACGGGCCCTGAGGGAAGCGGCTCTCGGGGCCCTCCACCAGCCCCGGGAGGAGACGATCAGGATGAAGGTCAGGAGGGGAAGGAACACACAGGCACAAGTAGTCGTCGATTTCCAGGAAAATATGGGAAAGTATCGGAGGTGGGGGGGGAAACGAAAATCCAAAAAATATGGAATCATATGGGGGATCCTGTGATTTGTGTGTATTCATTTGTGTGTCCTTGGGCCCCTGCAAAAGATCTCGTCTTGGGGGCGGGCCGCAGGGTCCAGGACCGTTTTCTTCTCAGGGCCCGCTTCCCCCCCGTGCTGATCAGTACCGTTCGGACGACCCCGGCCATCAGCCCCATCACCATCCAGACCCCCGCCATCTCACCCCCGCAGTTGGGGATGTCTAGGGGAACGAAAAATAGCATAAACATAAGAACTCGGAGGTCCGCGCAGATTTCTCGGATCGGCGCTGGGCCCCCCGGCGGCGCCTCCGGCGCCGCCCCTGGCGCGCTCCGCGCGCCAGGGAGGGGTGTCCAGCGCCGATCTGAGAAATCCGCGCGGACCTCCGAGTTTTATGTTTATGTCACTTTTTGTTCCCCTAGATGTACCCCTCGAAGCCCGAAGGAGACGGCTGATTATATACCCATCCAGGGGGTAAACTGGCCAGTGGGGTCGGTGAGACAATGCTCAGTTAGGGGCTGTGTGCTATGGGGTAACGATAGGGTCATAGGCTGAAGGGCGAGGTTCGAGCTTCGAGGTTTTCGGACAGTTTCGTCGGTTCTCGACGCTTTTCAGCCTCGGGATGCTTTCAGCGGCTGCGCCTCGCCGAGAGCGTTCCGGGAGTGCCCCGACCGTCCCGAACGGTTGCCAGAGACCCGAACTGTGACCCGAAAACCAGACGGGGGGACGCATCGACCTCTGATCGCTCACAGATCACCGATAGCCCACCCCGCCCAGGAGCGTGCGGATTCGCTGTCCGGAGCTTAGCGCCGATGTATTGGCGATGTATCGCCGATTCCGGGTCGCTGTTTCCACCCCCTGGGCCAGTCTCTCTCTCTCTCTCTCTCTATTGTTCCCCTTCAGTTGAGGGCTACGCGCTATGGGGCGCTAGTGCCAAGGGGGGAGAAAACTCCCCGGCTCACATCAGTGTCGTTCGCTAAGTAGTGCTGGGCGTCTACTTGGCAGTCCTGCCCTGACCGATTCCTTCAGGCGCGTATAGCAACAGGGCTTCAATAGTAGGGGTGCGTACTATGAAAGGTGCTCTTCTGCCCTCCATATTCGGCGCTGTTGGGCGATATCGAGCGCAATGAGGTGGTACTGTCGGCGGCGAAATCCGAACCCTACCCTCGCCGATCAAGGATTCAGGCAGCTCGATGGGCGGCGGGGGTAGGGTTCGGCACTTGTCGAACACGTGGCGAAATCCGAAGCATACCCCCGCCTCCCATTGATTCAGGAGGGTGGACGGCTGGTGGGGATACTCCGAGTTTCTTAGTAAGCGTCGGGTGGGCGTCACCCCCGCCGCCAGCTCCACATCGACCTCCGTCGCGGGCAGCCACCGCGCGCCGAAGGCGCTCAGACCCCCGTCGCGGCGCGACGACGATACGAGGTTGACCCCCGTCGGGGGGGTACCCCCCCCGACGCTTACCTTGAAGCCCAGAGAAGGGTTCGGATGTCGCTGCCTGCAGTGGGCGCCGTTGGGGGAGTTCCGAGTGCTCAAGGGGGGGGGGGCGTGCCGTGCCCGCGTGCCGTGCGTGCACGCGCGCGTCGGTGTTGGCTCACCGTGCGCTTTCTCGCTCAGCGTGTCTGTTCGAGGCCTCCTCTGCCGAGCACAGAGGCCCTGGAGGCCCACGCTGCCGGCGTACTCATCCTGGCCCTCTTGTTCTTCTCCGCCCTCTTTCCCGCCATCTGGATAGATGTACATATACATATAAGCATGTATCTATATATATATATATAAAAACCTATACATCTACAGACATGAATATCATGTCCTTTGCGCGGTAGGCAGAACCAGCCCTTCTTCAGCGAGAAGGAGAACAAGCAGATGCTCAAGTGGTTACTCGAGGCGACTCTTCGAGCAGCAACTACCAAGCTTACTTTGGTTCGATATCTTTTTACGCACGGATATTCGCAGTTCAGCAGTTTTCTGCATGACGATGTGTAAGCGGGCGGAGTGGCAGCAGCGCGAGGATCAAGAGGAGGGAGAGGAGGTGGAGGAGGGGGAGGGGGAATAGGATTCTGAGGATTGCATTGTCAATTTCAATCCAATCCGATATCAAATCTGGTGACTCTGGCCGACCTGGTCCGATTCGACTCCAATGATCCGACGATCCCATGTGGCCCCATTCTTGCATGGCGTTGTTGTGCATCCTGCCGCAGCCGATCCGATCCGATTTTGACCCCTTACCGATGCACCTCGATCCTACGCACACTTCGATCCGATTCGATTTCCCGATTAGATGTTGATTAGTCCTGGGATGTTTGCCTACATCAAACCACGGATCCGAGTCCGCCCTGGCGAGAGGCGGGCCGAAGCAGTGGCCAGTCAAAATGGGGGCGGATCGTGGAGTGGCCGTCTCTGACCCCGCACTGCTTCGGATAGAGACCCTTCCCGACACGACTCCACGCTGTGCCAGTGGGGTTCGGGCGCCGACATGGCTGGCCAAGTTTCGCCAGCGGATCCCCCGTTGTGAGATGAGCGTTTTTTTGCTGGCGGATGGTCGCGAACTTGCCATCAACATGTATGACAAGACGCCGATGCCCAAGTTCACTCGACTTCCACAACTGGGCTCCGAGCGAACCCGAACACGCACCAGGAGACGTGGACGCACGAGAATTCCTCGACGCCCGCAGAAGTTGAGAATATTGCCAACAACGACCCGCCCACATCCACCAGTGTGAGGCGCAGGGGCTCACGCCTAGATCGACGACGACGACGACTCCGGCGACCGACGACCGACGACCGATGACCGACGACGGACGACCGACGACCGACGACCGACGACGACGAGCGATCAAAGGCGACCATCGACGAGGGCCGACGACGAGCGGCGATCAACGACCGACGAGAGCGCACGGGCCGAGACGACGACGACGACGCCCAGCGACGACGACGACGACCACCACCACGCGCGACCGACGGAGACCGTCGACGATGGACGACCACGGGCGTCAAAGAGCGCGCAGTGGGGTGGTGATGAGTGGGGAGGAGGAGGAGGAGGAGGAGGAGGAGGAGGAGGAGGAGGAGGAGGAGGAGGAGGAGGAGGAGGAGGAGGAGGAGGAGGAGGAGGAGGAGGCAGCGAGGGCTGCCGAAAAGGAGCCCCGTTAGGGCCCCTAAAAGGGGCCCCCCTTGGGGGCCCAGAGGGGGGCCTTCGGGGCCCGAGAAGGGCACCTTCCTTCCCCCCCTCCGTTGATCGCCACCCCCGTGAAGATTCGCGCCCAGGGGTAAGTCGGGCGTGTCCCTCTCTGCAGGAGGCATACTTCCAAAATTGTCAAAGCAATCGTCTTGGGACGTTAATTTTTTTTTTTTTTTTTTTTTGTTGTTTTTCAGTTTTTTTCTGTTTTTTTTAGTTTTTTGTTGTTGTTGTTGTTGTTATTTTTGAGTTTTTTTTGCCAAAGTCCGCCTGTAGGGGGACATGCCCGACCTAAGCCCAGGGGCGACGATCAACGGCCGACGACGGCGCACGGGCCGCGACGGCCCACGACGACCGAGCGAACGACGGCGGCGACGGCGCGCGGTCGCGTCGCGGCCGGGGCCCGCCGCGCCGCTCTCCAGGCGGTCGCCTCGGACTCGCCGCCCGAGCCCGCCCAGCCCGCCGCCAAGGCGTCGCCGCCGCGGCCGTTGTCCGACGCCGCCTCCGCGGTCACCGCCGGCCCTCGGCGGCACCACGGCCCTCGGCGGCTCTCGGCTGCCCCCTCGGCGGCCCTCGGAGGCCCTCGCCCTCGGCAGCGCGCCGCGCCCCGCCGGGCGCCGGCCGGAGGGGCTCCAGGGCCCTCGGCTGAGCTGCTCGTCGGCACGAGCGGAATGGGTACGGACAGATCGTGTGCGATGCCCAGCAGCAGTTCCTGCTCATTCTGAACAGGACTAGCTGTCGGCGTCGCCGCGGACGCCGTCCGTGTGAGGCAGAAGGCAGCCTGCCCATCAGCGGCCGCCGTCGGTTCAGGACAGCACCTGCTGTTGGGCATCGTGCCCACTTTTTCCATACCTAGGGCGTCCAAATCGGCGGCTGTTGATTTGCGCCTGGTGAGGTGCAAGCTCAAGACTGCAGCGCTACAGTTGGCTGAGCGGAAGAACATCTAGCACATTGGCCCCACCTTTGGCGGGGTCGCGGTGCGATGACATTCGGCGGAACGTCTGGACCAACGGCCACCAGAAATTTTCCCGCAGGTATTGTCTGATCATCGATCAAGACTGGAGCGATACGCTGGCTGAAAAACTAGAACCGATTGGGCGGCAAGAGCTCATCTAGCACCTTCGCGTCGCCTGTGGCGAGATCTGGGTACCTTCTCTTAAGCATAGGTTGCCAGTCGTTGTTGCTGTGGGTGCTTTACATAGGGCTCCATGAAGGAGAGTCGGCCACGCGCAGAGGGGGTGTAGGGGGACGGGGGGAAGGCTTCCCAGAAGCGGACCTGTCTACAGATGCAGGGCCGGCGTCTCCTCAGAAGCAGCCTCCTAAGAAGTTTGCCCCCTCCCCCTACCCCCTTTTGCGCACCGCCATGGAGGGGCAGTGAGAGGAGGAGGAGGAGGAGGAGGAGAAGGAGGAGAAGGAGGAGGAGCAGGAGCAGGAGCAGGAGGAGCAGGAGGAGCAGGAGGAGCAGGAGGAGCAGGAGGAGGGAGAAGAGGAGGAGGAGGAGGAGGAGGAGAAGCAGGAGGAGGAGGAGGAGAAGGACGATGAGGAGGAGGAGGCGGAGGAGGAGGAGGAGGAGGGTTCTGACGGAAGTGGGTCCTGACGCCGTTGTCGGGTTCCCGGTTGCCCTTCCCCGGGTCCCTTGGGCCAGGGGAGAATATAAAGCCACCCCAGCCCCGACGATTGGCGCTTGCCGAGCGGCCCCTGGTCGTCGGTGGAACAGCCCTGCCCCGATCGATTCCCTCCTCGAGCGCGTCTGCTGAACGGCTCCGCTCGTCAGGGTGCTTCTCGTGAGGATGCTTGTTCTGCTTTCTATTCCCAGGGGGAGGGGGGAGGGGGAGGGGTAAAACCCTCCCCGAAGGGGAAGAAGGGGGGGGCTGGAAGAGGAAACTCTCTGCACCACGGGCTCGTGGGGTTCGGGTTCCCCGGGCCCTTTCCCGGGAGGGATCCTGTCCGCCTCGGGGGAAAGGCAAGAGGTGGAGCGGAGGGATGGCCTTCTAAGATGGCGGGTAGGATTCCAAGAAGGTGGGGGTTTTCAAAGAAGCCATCCTCGGAGGCGACGGCGGGGGGCGAATAGCCCAGGGGGGAGCAATACGTGTATCTAGGGGCGCCGATGGTCCATGCCTTCAGCGAGGCTCTCCAGCATCTGCGTGTAATGCCCACCCCTGGGCTCGTCGCCCCCATCGTCGCCTCCGACATCCTGACTTTCAGAGGCCTTCTTGGAAGCCTGCAGACCCTTCCAGGACAGCCCCGCCCTCTTCTCAGAAGCATCCCCCTGTCTTAGAAGGCCGCCCCTCCTCGCACCACCTGTCTGCGCGGTATCCGCCTGGTATCGTGGCGGCCATGTGTTTCGCGATCGTGGACCTCTGGAAGCCCGCTTTGGGTCCCAAGACCGCCAGAAAACAAATTGGGATACAGTCAACGCGCATAATAAGGGTGACACAGTGTCCAAGTTCACCCTTGCATCTTGCCCCTTCGGCCCTTTCTTGGCAGCTTTCGCTGACCAGCCCCGTCGGAAGAACGTCAACATGGCCTTCCGAGGCCCTTAACGTCCTTACCCCGCATCCTTACTACGTGCTTGAGCTGTAAGAAACAAAAAACTGTCCCACGTGGTCGGGAGGTATTGGGAGCGACGTCGCGAACAAATCGTGCGCTTCGGAGGCGGTAATCACCTGGGTTGCGCCCTCGTCGCCATGGCTGGATCTGCCTCGGAATCCTACACCGTAGCGGGAGCGCGCCCTGAGAGAGGTCTGGGGTTCGATTTCGAGGCCCAGAACTTCGATCGGGCGTTGCTAGAAGTGCCCCTGGCCCAAGGTGCTCCCAGGATTTCCAAGGAGGCCCCCCACGGCCTCCAGAGGACCACCCACGAGGCCCAGAGGGCTCCGAGGGGCTCGACAATGGAGCGACAAGCTTGGGGCACCTTGGCCGAGGGGCACTTTTAGCAGACCCCCGGTTCGACCTCCGCGCGTCGCCAACAAAAGCATCGCGACGGGCACGTGCTGCTGCGAGTGCGGCCTCCAAGGGCCGCCTGCGGGTCAAGTGGGCCGTCGCGAGAACGACCCGCGACGGAAACCGACCCCAGGCCTGGGGCCGGGGGCTGGGGCTCCCGGGGCCCAAGACGTGGACAGAAACGCTAGAGGACATTTCGTCGATTTGGTGTTCGCCCACGGGGGTCAGAAGAGGGAAAGGTTCAGATGCCGCTGCCCCTTCCCTCGTTTTCGCCCATCTGGGCCTCCTGGGAGGCTCTCGTCGCCACCACTGGATTCGCCTCGAGATCCTTGTCAGATCGCATCCCAGGAGAGGGGATAGGTCCGGGGAGCAGTGGTATCCGTACCTTTTGGTTTCGCCAGGTCGACTACACGCAAGAGTGACCCTTGGCTGGAGTGACTTTTGGTGCAGGCCCATTGGGGTCCCCCGACCGCCGAACGCGACTCGATAGTATAGTCTTGCGCGCTTGTGCTTGGTCCCCCCGCGGCCCCCAAAAAGCCGCGCACCAAAGGTCAGTCTTACCCATGGTCAACCTTGCGTGTAGCCGACCAGGGGGGGCAGTCGACGGGGGCTGATGTAGCGTGCACCTTGCGTGTACCCTGTGGGCCAGCTGTGGCAGTTGAGGGGCCATGCGGGGCCCTTCTGGGGCCACTTCCCCGCCATACTCGAAGGTCCCCACACAGTCTACTGCCCCCCCCGTTGCCGTTCGCCATTCCTTCGAGTGCCAGTCTGGCGCTGCTGCCGCCCCGAAGTGCGGCAGGGGTGGGATTCGGACTTCGCCGAGCACGCGGCGAAATCACGATCGTTGTTTTATGTATTGTATCGCCGATCGGCGCAGGCCCTCGCCCCCCCCCCCCCCCTCCCATGGAGTAGGTCCTGTTTTTGGCGACTGTTTTAAGCAGGTGCAGTCTCCCGCATAGGACGCACTGTTGCAAACAGTCGCACTAAGCAAGGGACCAGAGCCAGACCCGCCCCCTTCCCCCCTCTTCCGCCCAATGTCAAAACGCCGGATAAGACAACGTTCACATTGGAACCCTACATCACTCCTCAACATCAATTGCAATTTTTTTCCTGCGACGTGGCGGCGCCCCGAGACCCTCAATTTTCAATGTTCGCGCTGCCCCCTCGCTCCGAATACCCGAATACCAGAATATCCAATACCCGAACGCCCGAATATTTTACCCGAACACCCGAATACCCAAAATAACCGAATACCCGAGCACCCGAGCGCCCGAATGTCCGAAGACCCGAAGACCCGAAGACCCGAATATCCGCACACCCGAATACCCGAATACCCGAACGCCTCCGACTGGGCGACGCTCAGGACGCCCAAGCCCCACCAGAAGGCACGGTCAGAGCCAGCCAGGCCCAACAGCAGCAGTCACCCCCACCTCCAGGTTCTCCTCAACCAAGGATCGATGTGTTGGGTCGCGGATGGAGGGATGGTTTTGCGGTGGTTGCGAGGTGTCAGAGTTTCGGTAGGGTCCTCCCCTCCTCCCCCTATTCCTCCGCATCCCCCTGTCCTCTTCATTCATTCTTCCTCTGCGCTCTTTCACCCTCATCCTTATTCATCAGTTCCTCCTCCTCCTCCTCCTCCTCATGTCCATTCCTTTCGCCTCCCCGTTCCATCATGCTGATCTTCCTTCTAGTCTCTGCTGTCATTCCCTCGTTCTCCGCCTCCTCCACCTCCTCCTCCATGTCATCATTCTCGTCCGTGGCCACTTTGGCGCAAGGCGAGCTCGCCACACTTCAACAGGCAGCACCGCGCGGCACCAAACGGATCCGATCGCGTGGGCAGTTGATCCGAGAATATATTCGCGGGCAACAAGTCCGAAACTAGCCACGATGAATCACGCGGCACAACGCTGGCAACGGACCCGAGATAATTTGCAAACACAATCGGCACCACCACAGCACCATGCGGTATCATACAAGCAGCAGGTGACGGTGCTACACGGCACCATCACGGCACCGCGCAAGCATCGGGCACAACACCACAGGGCGCAACACAGCACCACGCGGGTAATGAATTCGAGAGTTCAGTGTCTTTAGTTGGGTTTTCACAGCCAACATTTACCGCCGTCAACCCCGCCACCACGATCGCCACCGCCACCTCCACAACCACTTGATACCTATCCCGCGCCACTGCCACGGGCACCGCCACCGACCACCGCCCCCATCAAGCCGCTACCACTGCCACCAAAGTTAGTTAGAGAGAACAGCTCCGTCTGCCTTCATTCGCGCAAACAGCTAATTGGTGCGGATTGGACCCTCAAGGTGGCCCCAGCTTATCCCCCGTGCCGTCTTGGAGCCCCCTGGTGGCCCTCTGGGCCTCGAGGAGGGGTGCTCTGGCAGCCTTCTGGGCCCACAGCGAAGCCCGGGTGCACCTTCGGCCAGGGATACCTTTGCCGAAGAAGAAGAAGAAGAAGAAAGAAGAAAAACAGCTAATACTATATATTACAGAAAGAATTGGTCTAAACAGGGTTGGCCGGATAGGGTTGGCCGGATCTCCGGAGGTTGGCCAGGAAGGTTGGCCGGGTCCGTCGTCGCACGAGTTGGTTTGTGACGTTGGTTCTGACAAATGAGGCGTTCGCCTGAGACACTCTCAGAAAACTTGCTATTGTTATCAAGAACGAGCTTCCTGCCTGAGACGTCGCGAGGAAGTCTAATGCGAAGTCGAAGGGTCATGGAAGGACAAGTAGCACAGCATAGCGCAGACACGAGTATCATAGTATCCCAAGCCATGGTATGGCGTACATGTCGTAATGTTATTGGACTTGGATTCCTGACCAAGTTCGTGGGCTCTCAGGTCGTGGGTTCCTCCGTGCGCCTCTGGGGGAGGCGGCGAAGGCTTTTGGGTCTTGCGCGCAAGTGTGATGGTCAACGCTCCTCCAGGCCCCGCTGGGCGACCCGCTTCGTGGCCCGGCCCGGCCCGGCCGCCCCCGAGGCCCGTCGTCGCCCTGGGCGACGGGGAGGGGGAGGAGGAGGAGGAGGAGGAGGAGGAGGAGGAGGAGGAGGAGGAGGAGGAGGAGGAGGAGGAGGACGAGGAGGAGGAGGACGAGGAGGAGGAGGAGGAGTAGGAGAAACACACCACAAACATGAATGTTTGGCGCTCCGCGCGGATTTCTTGGATCCGCGGTGTGGGCCCCCACCAGCGGCGCCCCTGGCGCCGCCCCGGGCGCGCTCCGCGCGCCAGGGAGGGGGGGGTCCAGCGCAGATCCGAGAAATCTGCGCGGAGCGCCAACAGTTTAATGCTTATGGCGTGTTTTTGTTGCTTTCTTATCCTACGTTGGGCAAACACTCGGCGCTTTGCTTTCCTACTCGTTTCTCCCTCCCGCCTCGTCCGGGCGGCCAGGATGAAGTCGGGAGGGGAAAACCACATGCAGGCACACTTCATCGTCGACTCCCGGGGAAATATGGGAAAACATGGGAAGTGGCGGGGAAGACGGACGCCCAGAAAGTATGGGAAAATATGGGGGGGGTCCTGGAATTCGTGTGTGTATTTATCTGTGTGTGTCCCTGGGTCCTCTCATATAAAGGCCAAGGAGGCAGGCGACTCCCGCCTACACACCTGCGCCGAAGTTAGGTGTTTTCTCGCTGGTGTCACACGTCGTCCCAGGTGGCGCCGTCGATGGATCGATCCTTCGCCTCCTCCTCCTCCTCCTCCTCCTCACGCTCGCAACGCGGCCGTGGCCGATCAGCAGGCACGCGAGCGCGGGTGTGCTGTTTGAAGCTGTGCGTTTTGTGCTTGCTGCCCCCTTTCCCCCCCCCTTCCCTCCCCTTTCACCTCTGATCCCCCCATGCCTCCTTCCTCCTCCTTCTCCCTACCCCTCCGTACCTCACCCCACTACCCCATCCAGTCCCCCTTACCCCCTACGCCTTCTAACCACCCGAACCCCCTCTCTCTCCCCCCTTCCCCCTCTCTTCCCCCCCCTTACCTTTCTCCTCCTCCCCCTCGTCGATCGGTCAATCCTCCCCCCCCCTGCCTCACTCTTCCCCGCCCTGACCGCCTCCCCACGCCTCCCTCCTTCTCCTCGTCCTCACTCTGGGGAGGCGGAGCGGAGCGAGGAGGGGGAGAGGGGGGACGGGGGGGGGAGCGAGGAGAGGAGGGTTCACCAGGGCCCGTCGTCCGTCGCCGCCGCTCCTCTTCGCTCTCGTGTTCCTGCTTCTCCCCGTCCTCCTCCTTCTCCGCCCCCCGCCCCCCCCCCCGCCTCCCCGCCCCCACCCCTCCCTCCTCCCTCCCCGCCTCCCCGCCTCCCTCCTCTCCTCCCCCTCCTCCTCCCTCCCCTCCCCCCCCCCCCCCTCTCCTCATTCTCCGCCCCCCGCCCCTCCACACCCCCCTCCTCTCTCGCGCGACGAGGCGGCCCCGGCGCCCTCGCTGGCGAAGGCGCCCGCCGCTTCCGCCGCGCCCCCTCCGCGCGGCAGCCGCTGCGGCGGCAGACCGCCCGCCCGCGCGCCTGGCGGGGGGGCGGGGGCGGAGGCGCATAGTCTTTTAGGAAATCGAGATGGGGTCCGAGTGATCCACAAGCCGCATCAAGTGTACAATGTCGCCCCTCTGTGACAGAGGGGCGGAGTTTGGAGGCCCTCCGTGACAGAGGGGGCCCATCATACGACTCCTCTGTGACAGGAGACCGCGCCTGAGAGGTGCATTGTCTTCAGGCCATCTAGATTTAAGTCGGGCCTGTCCCTCTACAGGAGGGATGTTCGAAAATTGTCAAAAATAGTCAGAGGATTTTGTTTTCTGATTTTTTTTGCCATTTTTGAGCAATTTTGAGTGTTTTGCATTTTTCGCCCAAAATCCCCGTGTAGGGGGACACGCCCGACTTAAACCTAGATGGGGTCCGAGTAGATGAGGTCGGAGGATCGCGCCGCATCGCCGATATAGCGGCGAGGAAGCCCGACTTTCTCGACGCCGACGTCGCCGGTGCGGCGCGATCCTCCGACCCCATCTACTCCGACCCCATCTGTTCCGACCCCATCTAGGAAACCTCTAGTGGGGGGGCCAGCTTTCCATCCCCTGTCCATCCCTTCCTCGTGTCTTCTTCATCTGTTTCTTCTTCTCCTTCTTCTTCTTCTCCTTCTTCTTCTTCTTCTTGCTCCTCCCTCCTCTCTGCCTGGATCCCTTTGGGCACGTGCGACCTGTACGACACGGCGGGGCCACTTTTGAGTGCCGGCCCGTTCGGACCCTGGGCTTTGCTGTGCGCGCGTGCAGCCGTGGACTGTCTGCGGGACCCGGACACGAGGGGCGGGGGCCCACGTCGGCCTCGCGGTGCGTTCCAGCGGCTGCGCGTCGCCGGGAGCGCTCTGGGCGTGCCCGGGCTCCCCCGGAGGGCCGCCGGAGACCCGAGTTGGGACCCGACTGTCAGAGGATGCGAAGGCCCGATTGCCAGGTCGCGTCGTGTCGACGAGCGACGACGCCGGCGCGGGAGTTTCAGGTTGACCGCCGCTGGCGACCCAGAATCCGTCGATGTTGAACGATCTGACGTTTCGGGAACGGCCGATCGTTCAAGGTTGACCGATCCCCGCGGTGTCAGGAACCAATGCCGAAGTCGGCACGACACGAACCTGCTGTGCCCATACCGCACCCGGGGAGAGGTCCAGGGAGCAGCCGTAGCGGTCCCTTTTGTTTTCCCCAGACTGCCAGGTTCAGAAGGGGAGTGCGTCGACCCACGATCGCACACTCGTCGCCGATCGGGGCCCGGCGCTGCATCGCCGATCTGATTGCGGCGCATCGCAGATTCAAGCTCTATGCCCTGAGCTGGCCCCCCCCCGTCGACCGAAAGATCGCGCTTGTGGCGCACTTCTCATTAAAAGGGGACCCCAGCTTCAAGCTACCCCCCCTCCCTTGGAAAATGGGGGAGGGAGGGGGCTTCCGAAGCTACCCCTCTCCCTTCCTTTTGTGGGCATGTTTTAGTTGGGGGGGCCTTAGCGAAGGGGGGGCTGGGAAGCTATCCCCCTCGCCCTTTTCCGGGGCCAAAGGTTAGCCCGGGCTTCCCTTTCAAACGGAGGGCTTCGGAAGTCCCCCCACCCCCAGCTGAGATTGGTTTGCCAATGGGGGGGGCTTCAAAGCTATCCCCCCCATCCCTTTTCCGGAGCCCAAGGCCAGCCCAGGCTTACCTTTGGGGGCGCTTCGGAAGCTCCCCCCACCACTTCCTTCCCTCCAAAGCTACCCCCCCTCCCTCTTTTTCTGGAACCCAAGCTCCCGTATTTGGCGCATCTTTGGTCGTCGTCGCTTTGGTTTTCGGCAATCTGTGGGCTCTTGGGGCATTGTTGGTGTTCGGGTTTATTGGGTCGGTGTTCTTGTGGATTTGGGGTGCCTTTTTTGTTTTCGGCGGTCCTTTATGTTTTGGCGCCTCTTTGGTTCTCGGCGTCCTAAGGTTTTGTTGGCGCTCTGCCGGTGTTCGGCGAATCGAAGGTTTTCGGCGTCGGCTCCCTGTTGGTTTTCGGCGCTCACTTGGTTTTCGGCGCTCCTTTGGTTTTCGGCTGATTTTAATGTTCCGCGCCTTCTTGGTTCGTTCGGTTTTCTTTGATTTTCGGCGACTCTGATTGTTTTCGGTGCTCTTTGTGTTTGCGGCGCTCCTTTGGTTTTCGACGTCCTGTTGGTTGTCGGAACATCTTTTGTTCTCCGCGTCCTTGTGGTTTGCGGCGCCGCTGTGGATGTCGGCGCTCTTTTGGTTTTCGGCGCGTTGTTGGCTCTTTGGTTTTCGGCGCTCTTTTGGGTTTCGGCGCCTATCTTGTTTTCGGCGCTCCTTTGGTTCTCGGACCCATTTGGGTTCTCGGTGTACTGTTGGTATATGGCGCTCCTTTGGTTTTTGCCGCTCGTTTGGTTTTCGGCACGTTATTGCGTTTCTGCGCATCCTTCGAGTGTGGCGACCTGTTGATTGGCGGCGCTCTTTTGGTTTCTGGCGCGCCTTTGTTCTTCGGCACTTTTTTGGTTTTCGGCGCCCTTCTAGTTTCCGGCGCTGGGTTCTTTTTTTGTTTTCGTTTCGGTGGCGTTTCTTTCGTTTTTCGTAATCCTTGGGGTTTCCGCGCTCTTTCGTGTTTCGGCGCTCTCTGATTTTCAGTGTTTCTTTTTTGTTTTTCGGGGCAGCGTTGGGTTTCGCTATTTTGTTCGGTTTTCGGCGCATGTTGGGCGCTTCGTCTCCGAAGAGTAGAAAAAACAGGAGAGGTCCAAGGGGGAGGAGGGGTAGCTAAGCCGCCCCCCCTCCCCTTTGGGAAAGGAAGGGGGGGGTAGCTTCCGGAGCGCGAAAGGAGAGAGGGGGGGTAGCTCCCGAAGGGTGGACAAAAATGAGGGGGAGGGGAAGGGGGGGGGTCCTGCACGGGAGGTTCACGAGGGGGAGTAGCTAAGCCCCCCCCCCTCGTTTTGGGAAGGGAAGGGGGGGGGGGGGTAGCTTCCGGAGCGCGACGCGACAGGGAGGAGGGGGGGGGGGGGCTTCCGAGAGGCGAGAAAAAAGCTTCCGGCGAGAAAAAAGCTTCTGGGTAGCTTCCGAGGGGCGAGGGCGGAGAGGGGAAGGTGCTTCCGGCAGGGCAGGACCCGGGAGGGGGGACCAGGGTAGCTGAGAGGGCACCCCTCCCCCCCCTTTGGGAGTGCGCCGCGGGCGCGCTCTCTCTGCTCCTCCTCCTCCTCCTCCTCCTCCTCCTCCTCCTCCTCCCCCTCCCCCTCCTCCTCCTCCTCCTCCTCCTCCCCTCCTCCTCCTCCTGCTCCTCCTCCTCCTCCTCCTCCTCCTCCTCCTCCTCCTCCTCCTCTCCTCCCCTCAGACGAGGAGGAGTCCCTTTCCCACCAGTTGGGAAACTGGTATTCTTCACGGAGGACTTCTAGACTTTTTGTTCTACTGCTTGGGTCAAGGGCGCGTCGCCCGCAGGCTCTTTGGACGTTCCGAGGAGGGCTGTTTTTTTTTTTCACCCCGAGCCTCTCTTGGCCCACGTCTTGGCGAACTTGTCTCGTCGGACCTAGGTTTCGGGTCAGGAGGGGGCAGAGGAGAGCAGCAGGAGGAGGGGCCGTCGAGAATAACAAAAACTGCGTCCATTCGTAGGGGCATGATGATGACCGCGGCGCTCGCGCGTGGGCGGCACGGCCTTGAGAGGTGCTTTTTTGTCCAGGGTGGCGGAGCGATGTCAGGAGGGAAACAAAAAAACACGGACAACAGTAACCGTCGATTCCCCATAAAAGATGGGATTATATGGAAGTGGTGGGGAAGACGAATATCCAATCAATGTGGAATCGTATCGGGAATCCTGGGATTTGTATGTTTTTAGTTGTGTGTCCCTGGGCCCCTTCACGATGGCACGAGGGCAGCCGCGCGCCGCACCTCGCCGGGCGCGGGGGCGCGAAGTTTGGTGAGACGGGAGGGGACGGCACAGGCACACAGTCCACCCGCATGGTCAGGATGGGCAACTTTCCCAAGGTTGCCCCTTGCATCCCTGCCTCCTCGGTCAACGCTTGGCCACTTTCGTTGGCCGCGCCCCGCCCGAAGAGCTTCGACATGGGCGCCCAAGGCCCAAGGCCCCTGCATCCTTATCGCGCATCCTTAAGATACGGGCCGACTGTAAAGCTTCGGTCCGCGCGTCCAGGAGGGGGCCCAGCGCCGATCCAAGAAGCCTGCGCGGACCTCCAAAAGTTTGTGGTCATGCCGATTTGTCGGGTTCAATGGGATGGCTAGTCTCCAGGGCAGCGTGACTGACCCCTGGCAAACCAGCCCCTTCCGTGACGACCGCCTGATCATGCAGGACTGTTGCCAGGCAGGGATCGCGCGCGAGCTTCTCTTTGGCAGCACTGCGCGCTTGGGCGTGGGCACTCCTTTTTCGCGATTGCGCAGCCAGCCGACGTGCTGCTCCGGTTCGGCTTTGCACAGGATCGCGCCGCGCGGAACCTTCCGGGAGCGCTCGAATTCGGCGAAAGTGGCACGCTTGGCAGCACCCGGCGAGGGCGGCGTCCTGTTGTGGGCCTGCGGGGGATCGCACCCCGCTGGACCTCCCAGGAACTCGCGGAGTGGCAACGCATGCGCTGTTGGCAGCACCTTGAAAAGGCGAGGTGTCGTTTGTGTCTGAGTAGGACGTTACTCCGCTAGACCTTCCAGGAGCTCTCGAACTTGTCATTCTCACGATTGGCAGCACTCAGGGAGGGCGAGCTGTCGTTTGCCTCAGCATGTGAAGGACGTCACCCCGCCTAGGCGCTCGCGAAAGTGGCAGCATTTGCGTAGTCGGCAGCACCAGGAGAGGCGAGGCGAGGCAGGAGGCAGTTGGGAGCCAGGAGGCAGGAGGGAGGATACGAAGGGAGGGGCAATACGGAAGAATGAGCAGAAAGTTCTGAATGCAAATTTGGCTCCAAATTGGTGTGACCATGCATGCTGAAGCCCGCTTGCGCCATGGCCTACTTGTCTATCCAGGCATTTCCTAGTCCTCACTGCCCTGGACCGTCGTCCTCGAGGCCGTGTGGGCCTCTGTGACCGTGTCTCCGCTGGATGCGCGACAGAGCCCAAGCCGCCAGCAAACTGCCCCTGTGCCTGCCCGCTCCGACTCCCTGGCCACTGGGGGCACAAACGCCAGGCTACCTTTTTGTGCGTCTGCGCATGCGGGGGGGGACTCCCGACAGCGGGCATGTGCTACCTTACCCCTCGCCAGGGGGGTGGGCGGCAGAGGTGGCACGCGCATCGACGGGGACGCACGTCGGCACGACCTAGCGGGCCGCCATCTGTCGAATAAGACCAGTGCACACTCAGAAAGGTTCGGAGGGCCGCGCGGATTTCCTGGATCGGAGCTGAATCACCCTCCCTGGCGCGCTGAGCGCGCTAGGGTGCCGCCAGGGGAGTCCAGCGCCGATCCAAGACCGCGCGGAGCTCCGAAGGTTCATAATGTATGCAGTTGTTTCTTCCCAGGGCTGGACCTAAACGGTGTTTTGGCCATCCCGTGGGCCGTCCTGTTTTTCGTGTTGTTTTGCATTCGAGGCGAATCGAAGGCAAACCGAGGAAGAACGGAACACAACACGAAAAGTGATCGTTCTCTTATTCATTGTCTTGCCGACCGGCGCGGGCCCTCGCACCCTCCCCTCCCGCCCCCATGGAGTAGATTCTGTTTTTGGACGCCTGTTTCAGGCAGGTGGAGCCTCCCCCATCATGGACGCACTGCTTGCAAACAGTCGCACCAAGCAGAGGGGCGGAGCCAGACCCCCACCCTTCGCCCAATGTCGAAACGCCGAATAAGAGAAACGCTCGCCTGCTTCCTCCTGCGCTTCCTTCCCCCTAGCCTGCAGCCGCCGTCTGGCCCAGGATCCTGCCCCCATGGACCGCGTCCGGCCTGGCGCGCCCGGCCCGGTGCCCCCGAGGCGTCGGCCCGTCGTGGCGGCACCCCAGGAAGGGGCTCGTTTCGGAGGGTTTTTTCCCGAAGGGCTTAGGCAACTCCTCTTCCTCCTCCTCCTCCTCCTCCTCCTCCTCCTCCTCCTCCTCCTCGTCCTCCCTCATCCTTCTCCATCTCTTCCTCCTCCTCCTCCACCACCACCTCCTCCCTCTCCTCCACCTCCTCCTCCTCCTCCTCCTCCTCCTCCTCCTCCTCCTCGGGTCGCCCACGGCCCTGGGGGAAACCGTGCAGCTCGTTTCGATTCCTCCGATTCGATTCGACTCGATTTCGGTGGCCTCCGATTCCGATTCGACGTGGTATTCCGATTTGGGCTTCGATTCATCATTGGAGGCATACCAGCCTGCCAATTTCCGCCGGTTCGACATCTTCCGACTCGGCTGCGGATGTCCGCCGATTCGATTCAATTCGATCGCCGATCCGACTTATGGATTCGATTCTGGGCTCTCCTGCAGGACCCGTCCGAGTGGGCGGCGCACCGCCAGGCCCGGATCGCGGCTGCCCACAAGAAGCGGGAGGAGTACAGGCCGCGGGCGGGAATCATCGAGCGCGTTCCCTTTATGCTCGCAGAGTGCCTGCTCGCAGAAAGGTCAGACAGAAGCCACGCTTGCCTCGATGCAGTGGGTCGTGCATCCCCCACGGCGGGCCCCGGCCACCTGCGAGCAGGTCTGGGGAAGCACATCTCGGGGGCAGCGTTCTGGGAAGCACAGACGTGGATCAGGGCGCGTGGACTAGCGGCGGGCTCCGCTTCCGTGCGCCATCGGCGCGCCCCGTCGCTTGAGCAGGTGGCTGTGGCGTCTTGCTTCGGGGGCACCTTCCCGATGCATGGATCTGGCCCCAAAGGCGCCAGATTCACGGATCCCTAATCCACGCCAGCGTGCGCCCAAACATTTGTTTGGGGGGGTAGGCTCATCTGGGGGAGACATCGAGCGTTCATCGCCCAGTCACAGCCGATGCGGGCCCGGTAGCCCACCCCGCCCAAAAACGTGGGGTTTCGCTCCCACGGGGGGCTATCGCCGATCTATCTGCGATGTATCGCCGATTTCAGCTAGACGTGTCCCCCCCCCGAGCAGGTCTTCTCCCTGACGTCTCCCCTCAGCATCCATGGCCACGGCCTCGTGGCCTGGACTCCACGGCCTCGCGGTCTGGATTCCACGGTCTCGCGGTCTGAACATCCATAGCCACTCGGAGTAGAGGAAACGGCACAGCCAAGTTTTCGGAGCTCCGCGCGGGCTTCTGGTGGAAGGAGAAGTCTCCCTGGCGGCGCCTCCCCTGCTGATGCCGAGCGCCCCCCTGCTGATGCTGAGCGCCCCGATATGGGCCCTCCTGGCGGCGCCTCCCTTGCTGATGCCGAGCGCCCCTGGCGCGCTCCGCGCGCCAGGGAGGGGCGTTCAGCGCGGATCCAGGACGCCCGCGCGGACCTCCGACAGCCGATGTCTGTGCAGTCTTCCTGGCCCTGTCCGAAATCGAGGCGGCCTCGGCCGCGGCCCCGCGCCCCGCGCCCCGCCGGGCGGCCTCGCGCGGACGCCCCGTGCAGAACGCGTCCGTGGGATCGCGCGTCCCGGAGATCGCGACCTGGTGCCCCGCGAGGATCAAGCAGTGGCGAAGATAGCCCTACCAAACAATGTTCTAAGAACCTGCTGTGGTTCCCACGAAAGGTTCTTAGAACATTTCTGGCAGAATCTGTCTTGTTTTATCACATCGGGCTTATGTTATAAGAACATTGTTTTGTTCTTAGAATATGATTGGGTTCTTAACGAGTTTCGCGAGTTTCGAGGTAGGACTAACTAGGAATGCTGGGACGGTCGGTCCCTGCTCGAGACAGTTCAGACGTACGCTGTCAGTGCAGATCGACGCGCGGAGCGCGGAGCGCGGCCCGCGGGGTGAGATGTCGTCTTGTGTCCGCGGTCGCCTTTTTCGGCGCGAGCGCTGGCGTTTTGGGGTCCCATAGGGCGCCGCCACGTCGCGGGAAGAGCTTGGCGCTGAATGTTCGAGGAGAGATGTTCAGGAGCCGGGCGAGGCTGGCAAACCCGTGGCTGCTCAAGCGGAGCTCCGGGGACTCGTGTTTTTCTTCTTCTGGGAAGAGCAGCCCGTTCACTCTTTAGTGCGCCGAGTTTGATTCCGGGAATCTGTTTGTTTCTTCCGGGAAGGCCGCCCTCGCCTAGCTTTTGGCCGCCCTCGGCTTCCTCGCCGAGGCCGCTTTGGACGCTCCGACACCTCGCGGAACCCCCTGACCAGGTCCACGGGGAGGGGGTAGGGGGAGGGGTAAACCCCTCCCCGAAGGGGAAGAAGGAGGGGTGGAAGAGGAACCCCCCTAAACCACCGACGCCCAGAGGGCTGGTGGGATCTGTTTTTTTTCTTCCGGGAAGGCCGCCCTCGCCCAGCTTCCAAGAGTCAAGGGAGGAACAACCACCCGGGCCGGACCATTGGCGTTTCCTAAACGGCCCTGGGCGTTTACTAAACGGCCCTGCCCTGTTGGATTCCTTCTCTGGGTGCGCTTACTGAGCGGCTTCGCGTGTCTTGGTGGTTCTGTTCGGGGTGGATGTTCTGCCCCCGAGAGAGGTGGTGCCCAGGGATGCGACGTGTATCGGCTCTGGGCGACGCGGGGGTCCCTGGCGGGCCCGGCCCCCTGCCTGCCCGGGGCCTGGCGGTCTGCACCCCGAGGGCCGTGCCTCTGGGGGCGATGCCATACGGCCCCCCGCGGGGGGCCCCGGAGGCCGCAGAGCAAAAGGGCGCCCTCGAGGGCGCGAAGTTCTTCGCGCCTCGCGCTCCGACTCCGATGCCTCCTCATCCTCGTCTTCTCCCCTGGGGGGCGGCGCGAGAGTGCGAGGCTGTTGGCGCTCCGCGCAGCGCGGAGCGCGAGCTTGGGCACCCTTGAAGCCGGCGACCACAGGTCCGTCCCGATTCTTGAAGACTTTGGACCTCGGGGTGCTGTCTGTTCTTTTCGTGCCGATGCGGCGGCGCTCCCGCCACGGGCGTTCCAAGTTGAACGCCAGAAGTGGCCCAGAATCGGCCAACATGGAAAGATCTGGCGAGCGGAAATGCGATCGATCTTTCAAGAATGTACGATTCGCGAAGTGTCAGACAACCAGCGCCAGGGCCGTCCGGCACGAACGTCATATCCAGACCGCGAGGGCACGCATGTGGATTGGGGAGTCTTGTATCGGTATGTTGTATAGATTTGGACTTCCGTCTTTCAAGTGCATTAGCGTGCGCTAGCGGCTGGCAATCAATGATGAAGCGCCGATTTAGCGTCGATCTAGCGTCGATCAGCGTCGATTAGCGTCGATCAGTCTCGATCAGCGTCGGCCAGCGCCGCTGCGCAAGAGCGGGAGAGATGACGACGACAGGCACCCACGAGTTGCCACAGAGTGTCACCACCCACCAGACCACCCCGACCCGAACTCCCTCCACTCCCAGCGGGGGGAGGCGCCGGGGAACACTGCAGACACACACGTGTGGAGCCCCCCCCCCCGAAAACCCGAAGCTTGGGCCTCTTCGGGTTGGGCTGGGGTGCTCCGGCAGGCCGTCAGAGATTGCGGGGCCTCTCCCCGCGCAGGAACGAGCTGACCGAGGAGCACACCTTCCAGCCCCGGCGCATCGCCAGGGCCAAGCGCGCGAGCCACAGCCAGCCGCCCCCCTCGGGCGGCGCCGGCAGCCCGGCCCCCCCCGCGCGGAGCGCCCCGGACGTCCGATCGGTCACGGCGTGCTCGTGGCGCGGGCCCCAGACTCGAGGAAGAGGCAGCGGCATCCACGCCAGTCGTTCAGGGTTTCTATGTTTGGGTGTCGGGTCCCAGGGTCCTTCGAACGCGTCGTTGTTGTTGTGGATGAATCTGCAGTTCTGAAAAATAATCATTGTTGATCCCCCCTCTGGTGACCATTGTATTTTTTCATTGCAGTGCTTCTCCCGAGATTCGCACCCTATCTTGACAAGGGAGAGTGTAGGGTCACCAATTTGTGACCCTGGCCCTCGGTTTACAACAAGGGCTCCCGCCTGATACTTCCTCACACTTAAGTCTAACATCGCGCTATCGCGCGGGACGACCTCATAATTCATACAGGAACCGCGCTCTCGCGTGTGACTTCGTCGCAATTTAGATGGACGCCGCGCCCGCGACACTCAGGAATCACGCTATCGCTTTGCTTTTCTCACGATTCACTTCGGAATCGCCCTACCGTTCGAGACTCTCCCCTGCGATTCACGCAGGACTCACGCTTAAGCAACCCTCCTGCTCGACCTGGCCGCCTGGGTCCGCCTTCCCGACCCGCCCGCAAGGTTCTGCCCGCCCGATGGTTTGGGATACGCGTTGATTGGTACGCGGGCAGTTAGGAGCGAAGTGACTTAAGATGATCGAATATTCATGCTTAAACTAATTATTGTTGATCACCCACGGTTGCACATTGTGTCTTTCAATTGAAGGGTCTCCCTCGAAGCTCGCACACTGTTTGTTTTCATCAGGGAAATCTCCAGGTTCAAACGGTGTTGTCGGCTCCCGGTTTACAACAACATCGGTTCCCGCGTGGTATTTCTTCACAATGTATTCCAGAATCACGCCCTCGCGCGGGACGTCCTCACAAATAATGCAGGACTTGCACTCGCCAGTGGGATTTCCTCGCAATTTATTCAGACTCGGCACTTCGGAATCACGCTCTCGCTTTGGCCTTTTTCGCGGTGTACTTGGGAATCGCGCTATCGCTCGAGACGTCTTCGCGGTTCATGCAGGTTCATGCTTCAGCATCCCGCTTGCTTGACCTGGTCCGCCTGGGCCCGCCTTTCCGACCAGCCCGTTAGGGTCTGCCCGCCCGATCTACCCGTCTGGTGTTGCCACGTGTTTTCTGCTCATACGCCCCTCCTGCTATCCTCTCTCGTGATCCATCTTTCTCCTTGCCCCTTCTATTCGTCCTCTCTTCCCCTGTTCTAGGGACTGCGCTACATCACGTGGCAGGTGATGAAAATATACCCCCAAGGGGGTCAGATCGAAAACGAAGAGGGCGGGTACTGAGGGTTTGGGATTTGCTTGTTGAATGGCACGCGAGCAGAGAAAGAGTGAACGGTCTTAAACTGATTATTTGTGTTTTTGGTGTTAGGGTTGGACCGAGTCCAATCTACCTTACCCGCCTTCCTAGTTCATGTGTCTACCGACGGGCGGGTAAACATCAATCTTCGGAGCTCCGCGAGGATTTCTGGGATCGGCGTTGGGCCCCCCTGGCGGCGCCTCCAGCTCCGCCCCTGGAGCGCCAGATACAGAGGTCCAGCGCCGATCCAAGAAACCATCGCGGAGCTCCGAGGTGTGTGTTTGCGCCGGTCTTCTGTTCCTGCGCAACCTCCCCCCCCCCCCGCCGTGGAAAAATCACGACGGGAGTTTTTTGCCATTTTCGGGCTTTGGGGGCCCTCGCTGGGCCCTGGCGCTGTCAACAAATCGGGGGTCTGGGGTCGTGGGTCAGGGGGTCTGGGTCGTGCCACGCCAGGGGCTGGGCAAACGGTCTTGCCGGTCAACTCGGCGGCGTGCCCAGGTGGGAAGGCAGAACTGGCGGGACTCCTCAGGAGGCTCAGAATCAGGGCGCCACATCGCAGAGCGGATTTCGTTCGGAAAACGATAGGATGAGCCCGGAGTGTCCTGGAGAAGTTGGTTCCGGATTTTGAAGGTGAATTTCGTGCGGATTTCTTTGGCCAGGAAAGAAGACGAACAACAATTCCACGCGAAATTCACGTCGTTTTTCACTCGCTGTTTCGGGGTTTTGTTGGATGGACAGAAATCCACGCCAAAATCCACTGCAGCACGTCTTCAAGGGTGGCGCCCCGATCAGAAGGCTCTGGCTTTCTGAGAAGCTCTCTGAGCCTTTTCCCAACCCGCAGAGGGCTTTTCAGAAGGCCGGGGGGCTTTTGAGAAGCCCCACCATCTTCCGAGAAGACCTATCCCCTCGGCGCGCCGCCGACGAACGGTGTGGCCTGGATTCTGGGTTTGCGGCAGGCCATATTCCGTTCGGGCACTGTCTGCACGAGACGATCCCTTCTGGAAGAGTGCCAGCCCACCTCGCCCGTGACGCATCGCACCACGCCGTTACGGGCCGCACCGTTTGCCCGCTTTCGGATCGTGATTCGCCCCGAGGCCTCCAGGCTTCCTGCCCCCCTTACTGGCCTGAGGCGCGTGGCCGAGCATGCGTGGATGAGGGCGACCAGGAAGTCAGGAGCTCCCAGAGCGCACCATGAGCCAGTCTCGACCCCGTCCCGGGCTAGGGACCAGTCTTTTTCTCCCGGTTCGCTTCTTGACGGCCCCAGCGCCCAGCACGTGCGACCGACATGGGTACGTGCGGAAAGGACGGGGACGAAGACCGACAGCGCTTCTTGCCCATTCTGAACAGGACTCGCTGCAGGTGCCGTGCAGGATGTGGCCCACTTGAGACAAGCAGTCGCCCGCCCAACAGCGCCCACTGCCAGTCAGGGAGAACATTCGCTGTGGGGTATCGTGCCCATGTGTTCCGTCCGCACCTCCCTCCGGGCGTGCCAACTGGCAGTGGGCTCGCCAGAGCGTGCTCTCTCGGCCTGCCTCCGAAAAACGCAGCCTTGCCCTCGGGGTCGCAGGAGGAATCCCCGACACGGATCGGAGCGGGCCCCGGAGGCGCCCAAGCTGAGGACAGGCCCGCCGCCCCGACCTGTCCAGGCCAGCCCGGCTGGGGTCGACGCAGTCGAGGTCGGTGCGTCTTGCCGCGTCGATGCAGCGGCGATGCACCCGGATGGAGCCCGAAGTCCTCCACGCCGACGTCGCCGATACATCGGCGATGCGGCAGGATCGTCCGACCCCGTCTATGCTCACCGAGCGCGCCTCACTACTCGCAGAGTGCCTGCTCGCACACGCCTGAAAAAAGCAACATGTGTCCGCCTCTAATTACGTAGTGGATCGTGAATCTCTCGCGGCGGACCCATGCTATCTGCGAGTAGTTACTGTGCGAGTCGTGGAAGGCGCTTGTCTGTCTACTTCGATGCCGACAGGGCGGCCTCCACCGCAGCCCCGAACTCTTCGTGACGGACGGGCGTCTGGGCCTTCTTCGGTGGCAAATGATGGGAGCCTGGTGTACCCTCTCAATTCCGTCTTTAGCGTCGACTCGCGTCGATTAGTGTCTGGAGTCGATGAGATGGCGCCGATTTAGCGTCGGTTAGCGTCGATTTAGCGTTAATTTGCGTCGATTTAGCGTCGAGCAGCGTCGATTCGCAAGAGCCGACAAGATGGTATCGGAGGCTGCCATGAATTGCCACCGAAGCCTTCCTCTCCACTCCCTCCCCTCGCGCCTCCTCTCGGGGTGCGCCAACCGACCACCTCACCGAACCCGGCTTCCAGCCCGTCCTGGGTCCCAGGATCGGTTTGTCTGTGCGTCCAAAAGCAAGCCAGGAGGGCGTATACCCAGATGTTCGAGGGTGTGATCTGTTATGAGTTCGAACGGGGCTAGGACGAGGATCAATTCTCCTCCTCCTCCTCCTCCTCTAGCATTTTCAGTTGGCTCTAGCCATTGCAATATCACCAGCAGTTTGTACGAGGCGTGGATGCGCTCCGTGGAAGCAGCAGATGCCACACATCATGTTCAGGTCCACCGTGGGCTTTCCCGAGCAGAGGGGCCCAAGTTTCGTACAGACATCGTCTTGGAGTCCACTCTGTCCCGCATCTTGCCGCTGAGGGATTGCATCCTGGGATGGCGGACTCGTTCGCACATTGTTCTGGACGCCGATGCCAAGCATACGACGCGGCAGAACGGACTCAAGCAGCAGGAACTGTTGGTTGCAGCATGCCGGCGCCTTCGTGATGAGAGGCTCCCGAGCAGGGGCACCAGGTCTGAGGCCGCGCGACAACAATCGCACGGGCAGCATGGCTCACTCTGTTAGCAGGTGTGCAGCAGCTCAGCGTTGGCGAGCTGAACGAGGCGGTCTCGGTCAGCAGCAGAGTTTCACAGCGCAGCGGGCGCCGCGCTATCACTCAGTCTATTGCAGAGTTTCGTGAGTGGGCGGGGTCTCAGAATGCTGTGTCAGTTCTACATCGTGCATTGCGCGACCCGCCTCAGGTTTCCGACAATGTCATAGACGGCGACAGGACGGTGCAGCATACAAGAGACATCATAGATAAGAAGCCAGGAGCTAGATGAATTACCAGCATTGTTTGATGACGTTCGTCAGCGTGTCAAGGACCAAAATCTGCATCGTTCACGGGCGAACAGGTCAGGGCAGCAGGTTGGCGGCATGAAGCAGACGGCTGCCATGGGAGTCGACCGCCTCACAACGTTCGACACTGATCGGCTACCGCAGGAGGTTTTTGAGGAATTGGCAGGCCTGGCGGGCGTCTTCGAGAGATGCCAGTCATGGCCACACCAGCTCTTCCTCACCATAGGCACCCTGCTGCCTAAGAAGGTCAGGGGAGACATGGTCATCGGTTTGCTGCCCCTAATCGCGAGGCTCTGGTCGCAGGCGCGGGAACCCTGGGTGAGAACGTGGTCGCAAGATTGCGAGGCACCCTGGGACGCTGCGATCCGCGGCAACGCCGCGCTGCAGGAGGTTTTCCTCCGACTGGAGGACGAGGAGATGGCGACGAGGCTGGGCGTTGCCCACGGCCGTGGTTTGCTGGACACCGCCAGTTTCTACGACACGATCGGGTGGTAGAGGTTGGCGGAGGCGGCACCGAGGCTCAAATTTCCAGCGGAGGCGGTGGGGAGCTGCTACAGTG